TATATATATATATATATATATATAGATAATGTATATCAAGGAGTATTGTATACGCGGAGGGCAGATGTGAAAAATGGATTTTTATAAGTAGAAAAATGTCGCGGGAATAAATGTGAAATTAGCGAGAAGAGGAAGTAAGTTGAAGCACACGTGTTGCGGAATACTTACAGCGTTCACTTCACCTTCATCGTACCAGACATTTATGTAATTGTGAAGTAGAGCATCATCGACGGAGATGCGCCGTTCCGGATCGATAACCAACATGCGAGACAATAGATCCCTGGCTTGACTCGCTGAAAACGAGATTGTCGTTTGATTAGCAAATACTTTCCATGCGCGTAGCTTTCGCGCAGAAAGGGCCGGGAATCAATGAAGTACCTTTCAAGCGATTATGTTCCGAAGAGTCCGACGGAAAGAGGATGTCCGGGAATAGCCTGTCGAACGGGTAACCTGGGTGGTGAGGTCGATTCTCTACGTAATTCCTTACGGTCAGCTGTAATCGCTGCATAAATTCTTGGGCCGGAGTTCCCAGTTGTTCTGTAAGGCATAATCGAACGCTCAGTTTCGTTATTTCTATGAATCAACATATTCGCAATGCTGTATTGGTTATTATTATTCTAGGGCCTTGGAGCATTATTCGATGCCCTAGAAATGTGCAAATGTCAATAAGCAATTAGCGTAAGCTCCGTTAAATATTGAAAATAAATAATTCGCCAATAATGCTCGGGCAAATGCGATCAAATTATATGTTTTGTCACGTCGACCCAGCGTGCTATTATTAAAACGGCTTTAGCTCTAAATCACTTATAAATTATAAAGCGAAATTGAATTTATAGAATATTTAGAATGATGACTCGATTCATTTGGAGTAGCATCGGAGTAAGCAATATTGGCAAGCGAGCATTGGATAAGCCGACATTAGCAAACATAGATTATTTGTTACAGCAAAGCATAGCGCAAAGGAATGACTTTATTAATAATCCCAAGTGCAATTACCTAATTGTTGAGTAAAAGAAGTTAATTAAATTTTTACATAACTAAACGGTTATAATTAGAAAAGTTAAGGGATTAAGTGCACGTAGGTGTGAAAGTGCAAGCTCATCGATACACTCCACAACTATTTTAATAACAATTTTAATGTAATTACAGTTAGGTGCTGCTGATTATTCAAGCAATAACAAAGATTTAGAAATACAACGAGAATTCCATTAATTCCATAAAAGTCTCGATAGTAATAGAGGAAAATTATAGTCGAATCGATGATAATTCATCTTAATCTTAGCGAATATAATATTTTTATCTCTTAAAATGCGCTACAATGGCCAGTGAATAATGAAAAATCTTTTAAATCGTTTCATTAACAATAGTTTTACGTCTGCATTAACTTTTCCAATAGTTACAAATAATTTTCCTTACACATGCCTTAATAATGCATTAATAATCTATAAGGTAAAAATCCAAAGTCGCGAACCACCAAATCAATCTACATTGTCAGGCCACGAGTTAAATATAAATATAAAAAAGCTAGTCTGACTTTTTTTTTTCTTTTCTCGACTAGTATATGAGGTGGGGAGTGAGGGAGGGAGGGGGGTGGGGAATATTCGTCTCGTCGAGCTGAGATTTCGATAGACGACGAACTGGAAGCCGAGCGGAATAATAATAATCCAGTAGGTACCTATAATTTTGTTCCACTGATCGATATGATCGGTGCCGGGAAAGAGGACACCACCGCGTATCATCTCCCCCATGATGCAGCCGACCGACCAGATGTCCACGTTCTCCTTGTAGCCCATGCCGAGGATGACCTCTGGCGCCCTGTAGTACCTCGTCACGACGTAAGGTGTCATCATGAACGTCGTGCCAGCCGTCCTCGCGAGGCCAAAGTCCAATATCTTCAGGGTACAGTCGGACTTCACCACGATATTGCTAGGCTTCAAATCCTGAGGGTCGAGCACGTGCGCATGTGGACAACATTGTCTTATATAAATGATATATTGTCTATTGCAAGCCTTATCGTATTTTCCCATTTATTCGAGAGTAAAGACGCTTGCCGTCGCGACTGCCACTTACGAATGAGAAATTGATGATTCATTCAATAATTCAATGATTCGTAGGGATTATGGAGGGAGAGAGGGGGGGGGGGGAGGGGGGGGTCAGCCGCTCGCTAGCGATTAAGCTCATTTCGAGGTGCATTTTAATATTTTAATAAATTTTAATAAATTTAACGCTAATGTCGCCGTTTCGTTAACAGTCACGCAATATATAAATTCGTAAGCTAATAATGGCAGGTTTGACGGGAATCGAGATGATTCCCTAGTCTCGAAAATAATAATACGCCGCGGTGAAACAAAAGCGTAATGTATGACGAAGGCCAACTAATAATCGATTAAATATCTCATTGAGCCGAGCGGACGATGCCATTAGGGAGAGGTGAATGTGTTAATGAGCTCTTCTTTACTCTCGACCACTAGTCGTCATCGTCGTCGTCATCTACTACTACATGCACGTCATATGTATGTGCTCTCACCCTATGTATGATTCCAGCGGAATGCAAGTGTTTGATGCCGCAGAGCATCTGGTAAAGCAGGTAGGACATGCGCTCGTGATCGAGGTCCATTTGAATTACTTGGCAAAGGTTCGCATCCATGAGTTCCATCACTAGATACACATCCTGAAATTCATCCAAGGACCTCTGCGGAGTGAAGGCGTTCAAGAGTCCAATTATCTGCGAGCGTGAAAGAGGATTAATAATGCGAGGGATGGCCCGGCCAGGATATACCTATAGCCAATGCATTATTTCTAAGTTGATATTATAAATGCGCTAGAGCTCGCGAAAATCGCCAAGATTTTTATTATCAATGTGAGGGATATTGGAGAAAGTAGCTCATGCATTATTACGAGCTTCTCGCATTCATTAATGGCCAAATGAAATGATACATTATTATTCATTGCAAAAGGGAAATTAATTCCGTTGCGCGCAATTAATATTTGTATTCTCAAGATTTATTTTTACTTCTTATTGAATAAAATTGCTCGGAACACCGGTCATGATAATCTTAGCACATTTACGGCTCGACAGCATTTTCATACGTCAAATGTATGACCCATTAAAATAAACTTGCCCTATAAGCATCATGTCATTGCACATTTAATAACGAATATTGTTATTATCATTATCATTATCATTATCATTATTAATATTATCATTATAATTTGATCTACAACGAAGCTTTCAGCGCACATAATAATAATATTATTATTTTTAATATTTCGATTAATATTTATGCTTATTGATGAGAAATAAAATTTAAAAAATAAGTATGAATATATTATATATAAATACTATAAAGCACACACACGCGCACAAGCGCGCGCGTATATATAGATAGATAAATCATCCGTATCATTACTGTTGATCAATTAAATTTTCGAATTATGGCAGTACCAAAAGTAATAACATAAATACTCGGAATATCACTTGTCGAGCACACATTGTTAATCATGTGATTAAATTTATTTCCAAGCGAAAAATTATTTAACGAAACAAGACTGGAGTTATATAACGACGGTTAACAAGGATGATACGACAGGGCGTTAGACACGTCGCTACGATTATTATATTTAATAATACACGTAATTATAAAAATAATTTTAGCTACTGTAAGAATTTGTAGATATAGCGTATTACGTAAAGAGGAGGAAGAGTCGGTGGGAGTAAAGAGACAAGCGCGGCTTTACTTGGTCGGAAATCGAAGGCGGGAACTGCCATTTTCGCGACGGACGATCTTCCTCCAACTAAACCTATCAATGTCACTTCTATGTCATAATCATATCGTAGAATCGGATAATACCGCTAGGTCATACACGCGACACGTGGCTCTCAGTATCAGCTAAGTTCCTTTTCTATTGAATTATTTATACAAAATGTTATTATCTCGATGAATTAACGTAGATACAGGGGTCGACAGGCACTGCGACACTGGGAGATTTGTTGTGTTTCGTAAGCGCGGACGTGTATGTGAGCACACTAACAATTTATTATATTATAATGCCCGAGAATCTCCCAAGTTGGTCAATATATCTATGAAATCTTATATGTCATTAAATCTTAACGTGAATCGTCTATTTTATTAGCCTTATTATACACTGGCATTTGCTTTATTTGAAAATTGAAAATATCTATCGTGATCTCGTGCTCGTGATATCGCTAAGAAAATATTGTAATACAGACTTGGAGAAATATAATCAAGATATGCTTACGTTTTTGTGGTTGACCAGTTTCATCAATTTGAACTCTCGGTACGCCCTCTTGGCGTGCGTGACATTCTGAAAAGGCCTCGAGAGCTTCTTGATCGCGACGTTCTGCGCCGTCACCGTGTCGTACGCCGCGCTGTACAGAAATAGAAAGGAAGAAAGAAAGGAAGGAAGGAAGGAAGGAAGGAAGGAAGGAAGGAAGGAAGGAAGAAAGGAAGTAAGAATGAAAGAAAGAAAGAAAGGAAAAGAAAGAAAGAAAGGAAAAGAAAGAAGATGAGAAATTAACATTTATTAAGTAAGCAAAATACATTTGCGCATTTTACTAGAGACTCGGTATTTACTCTTGTCGACGATATTCTTGTCTATCGCGATCTAATTAATGGACCGTCATCCTACTCGAATTTACTCGACAAAGCCTTCGAGGCAATTCGTCATTCGGATTATTGGAACGATTTGAGTTTGGGCAGCGTTTTATTTACTACGAGATAAATCGAGGATAATGGCAAGCTGAAAATATTTATTTTTCTACCATTGATTCGATCCACGAGATATAATTCCGTGTAGATGGTTTTATGTCCACTTAAATACCATTACGCCTTTACAATTGCAATAAAGTTCGCATCACTCATTGTTAAAATTTAATTCGTAAAGCAATATGGAAATTTATATTACAATGAGAAGCGGGAATTTGATTCTCTTTAATCGACTAACTTAGCATATTTAATTGCGGAAATTCTCAAAATAAATATTATAAATAGAACTCCCCGTGTGACCTACCTACCCATCTACCTACCTACCGTTATGCTTCAACGGTATGTGTGATAAAATTAAGATAGAGAGAGAGCGAGAGAGACAAAAATTAATAAGAAATAATATTCCCCATGTTTCTTTTAACTAACGATAAGATTTCATCGAACATGACAATTTTTAAAAGCACCACGAGCGGATTAAAATGTTTATTCAAATTTTTAGATTTAGCATAATGAGAGAAAATGTAAAGATAATTGATTGTCATTTTATACTGATTATATATATATATATATATATATATATATATATATATATACACATATATACATATATACATATCAAAGTATCATAGTATATATGTAGGGATTTTGTGTGCAATTATTTTATCCAATTATACGGCTCACTTAAATAGCTCGCGTCGTTATGTTAAAACACACTGTTCGTGAATTATACGATTCTTAGATCCACACATCTTTATGTAGACGAGCACATTAAAAGATTTATAAAGAAAATCTTACAAGTCGCGAATTTAGATAAAAGCGACGGATTTTATACGACGCTAAACTTTACAGTCCAAGCACGCAACAAACATTCGAATATAAAAACAATTTATTACTTTCGTTATTGTTAATGCAATATTTGACTTTGTAATATGTAATGCCGTGTAGCGCCAAAATAAAAGAAAATAATGAGAAATAAAACGTAATCGAGGCGGCTGTCTTAACTTATCATCACTTTAGCCGAAAGCACTTACAAGGAAATATTATATAGCTTCCGGGTCAGGGAGTTAATGAGAGTCTCGAAGGTGTTTCTCGATACGATACCCTCGCGTCAAATACCTTCACCAGCGTAAGTTTAATTCGAGATTCTTGTCTCCCAGATTTATATAATTTTCTTTCCTCTCTCTCTCTCTCTCTCTCTCTCTCTCTCTCTCTCTTATTTACGTTTTACAAAAATATATATTATTTTGATAAATGTCAGGCTGACGTTATTCTTTCGTCGATTCTTCATTTATTTTATCCTCGGTAAAGATCAAGCGTTCGTCAGTCGATGAATTGACTTAAAACATTTTTCCGACTTTGCAAACGGCACTTCATAATTATTCATTTACAATATACAATTGTCATTCAAGTTGATGCTTTCGATCGTCGTTGCTCTCAATAATGCCACGAATAATGAAATGCCGTTAGCTTACGCTTTAGCTTAAAATCTTAATTTAAGTCTGTTAGGCAATGGTAATGATAATTCCATAGTTTCGCGAATGCAAAATTATAACAATTAAGACTGTCTCATCGAAAATTATGATTATTTGTCGGAATAATTCATTTTCAGCTGTCATGTATTATAGATGCATGTATACGGCATGTAATTCTAAGTGGCGCGCAACGTACGGAATCGTCGAAGAAGCCGCGTACTTCAATAGAATAGAATTAGGTTGATCGAAAGTTCCGCGGAATTCGTAAGAATGCAAAGCCCGTCGAGAAGGTGGGGAGCTCTAGTCAATTGGCGAATGGGCCTTGCAATGTTTCGCCGGGCGTATCGCCGAGCTTTGGCCGCTAAGATCGTCGTGCTCGGTCGCGAGCCTCCCAAAAATAGCGCGTGCCAAGTCCGCATGCGCGCAACTTACCACACGATGCCCTGGGCCCCCGATCCAATGGGCTTGAGGTTCTGGTATCGCTTGAGGATCGTGAATTTGGTGTCCCCGACCTCGACCGTGTAGAACATGGCGGTCAGTCGGGTTGTGGTCATGTCAGGCCCGAGGTAAGGCATGCGCCTCGGATTCGCCGTGCGCCCGGCAGCCGTCGTGGCCGTGGTGCTGGCCGTCGTGGCACGTGGCACCGCCTCCAGGGGCTCCTCCGTCGCCTCGGCCGTCGGCCCCGGCACCGCCGCTACCGCGATGCCCTGAGGCGTCGCCGCCGCCGTCCTGACGATTCTCCTTCGCCTCGAGCTGCTGCTGTTGCGCGCGCGACCGCGGCGCTATCAAACCGAGGGTGTCCTCCTCCTCCTCCTCCTTCTCCTCGTCTTCGTTGCGACCGAGCCCCGCACCACTAACAGCCAATTTGCCGTTTTGTCTGTTGGAAAGGAAAGAAATTACGTCTGCCCTGTGCTTGCTTATTTATCGGGGGTATTGCCGTCGGCCACGGCATACCAATGCCCGATTTACACTTTCTTTATTTCATTCTTCTTTAGCGTTTTAACGAGGGAAAGGCGAAGGGCGGACAGAGCTTTATTAAGCGGAGGGCCGATGGATTGTTATGTGCTTTGTAGGCGGTAAATGTAAGTGCTGGACGTGCGCAGCGAGTGAAACAAAATTGCCATACGCTCTAAGAGTTGGCAATGGAAGTCTCGAGTGGTGCCCTTGGCGTAAAGCAACTCTTCATCCCCGACATGCGCCGCCATTTATGAATAATAATGTAAAACGTAGCGAGGGTTAAGTTAATAATTCGATTAATGATAATTTGGTAGATTTGACGGCTTATTCGCGACGCACTGATATTTATTATTGATACGTAAATGGCTACGGCCGACGTAACGTGCGAGATCGATGAATTATTCGGCTAAGCTGGCAATGTACATTTACGGTCTTTTTTTATATTACTCCATTGAAATATCGCCACCCAATATGAAGATTTACTATATAATACAAGCTCGCGCGGAAATGATAATGGCCGGAATAAAGAATTGCTTATTATTAACGTTTTTTCTTATGCTAATGAGCATATTAATGTAAATGTAAAGGCCATCGGCGCGTATTTATGAAGTATAGTGAGCTACGACTCCCTAAGTATATTTGCTATATAAAAGTGATATTTGGCTATATTCCATTTAAAAATTCATTACCAGTATTGAATGGTCAATCTTAAGTGAGTAAAAAATATTATTCTAATTCTTTTTCGTTTGTTTGTTTGTTTTTTTATTATTATTATTATTATTATTTTTTGTTTTTTGTTTATTTTTATAGAATCGATGCCCGTAATAGGAAGAAAGGAGGAAGTTTTGTAAGAAAGAAACAAATAAAGAACAATTTGAATCTCAAAAAAGTATTCGCTCTACGGAAAGACTACAAGCTGCAAACATCAAAAATCTTAACGTTTACTTGGGATTTTTTTTTTTGCAGCTACTTGCTCAATTTTGGCATTAAAAAGTCGTGAAAACTTTCCTAGGTTATATAAAAATTATTAAAATTTAAAAAGTGTAAAATAAGTTTTTTCGTCTCAGATAATTTTTTTATACTCTCGAGAAGACTTTATTTTTCGTAAAGTCAAACTACCATTTTACTATACATACGGTTTTTTTTACGACTGAAAATAAAAGATAAGAATCATTTATCGATTTTTGATAAAAATCCAAGCTACAGTATTAATAACCTTATATTTAACAATCGCAACAAGAACATTAGATCTATAGATGCATTATTTTTATTTCATCGTTAATAGGAATATTATTTAATTGTAGCTCATATTATTGTACATTTACATTTTCCTAGTATTGCGTTAACTATTCAAATATTATGCATTTTAATATTAAGTAAACAAGCAGACTGTCAGTAACGTCGAGACCATTGTGTTCTACATCTTTTATTCTTTTATATTGGAAGAAAATTAAAAAAATATGTATATATGTAAACGAAAAGTATGAGAGAATATTATTTAATCGATATTTTTTTTCATTATTTTTCGGCATCATCTTTCAATTGTGTAAATATTTTTTCGGTAAAATTATTTATCTCACATTTTCATTTTTCACATTATATATAATTATCTGCGATACATATATATATATATTACTTAACTTATATTTAAATATTTTCAGATTTGTAATAATAGATTGAATTGCAAAAGTTGAGCTAGTCTTTCAATCTACTTTTACGATATTATTTAATAGAAATATTATGTGCCCGTTATTTCAGACTTTATAGTTTTGTATAAATTAGTCAGACAATCGAACACTTAAAGGATCTGCAGAAATGGAACTTTGTAAAAAAGAAAGAAAAAAAAGGTATCTTTTATACCGCCGAAATAGAAAATGTATTTCAGTAAAATAACAAGAGACTTTTTGTCATTTTAAAAGGAATAGTTAATCAAGTATAGTTAACTGTTTTACATGTATGCAAATTAATATTAAATTAAGTAATGTTGATGTAACATTGTGCATCAATTACAAACTAAAGATTTTAACATGCCGAACACGTCCGCGACGGTTATTGTAATATTACGTTTATTTGCAATTTTATTTAAATATTTGCTATATCATAAGATATATAAGTCAAGAGAAAAGTGTCTTTAAATAACATCGTTTCCAAATCTATTACTGGTGGAAAGAGAGCCAAGATTTTACATATTTTATACTGTCGTCTTACCAGTCTCGGAAAAACCTACTGCAAGTAGATGATTCTCGTACTTGGCAGACAAAGTGAAACGTGTGAATTCTCGGCTGTCAGCTAAAATCTTATTTTTATTTGCATATAGTAGTTTGCTATTATGATTGCCATTAATATTTCTTCTATTTTTTCATTATTTCTTTTTTGATTGTTTAATTTCATCTTTTTTTTCATTGTTTTTGAGAGAAATATAATTATGATCTCATTTATATTGAATACAAATTACTTTAAGGTTAAAAATTAAAAATTATTTATATATATATATATATATATGTATATGTATAAGAGTTCAGTTTATTCAATTTTTGTTACTGGTTTTACGGTTTAAAAACTAATGATATTAACTACAAACATCTATTTAATGTGTCTTTTAGTAAATTAATTTTTGTATATTATTGCCTAGTAAAAATTATCGTACACATCTTAAATACGAATTATTATATTTTAATATTTATTATCAGAAAATTAATTGAAATGGCATAATAAAAGGCATAAATGTGATTGGAATTTCATTGTATTATTCGTAAATTAGATAAAATATTAAATGTAGTAGTGTAACTTCATTACGACATTAATAAAGCAATTTTGCAACCTTACCAATATGTATTGAAAAAACTAATTTGGATGAATTTTTGTAGTACCTTTCAAGGTCTATGTAGTTCAATCAAAATTCAAGCATCTAAATACTAACAATTTCAATAATATGCTTGTTCACGACAACACATGATATAACAAAACAATTTTACATAAAAGAAATTTTCAGACATCACGATGCAAATAGAAATGTTTAATGCTTACGAACGATGCTAGAAAATACTTTCAACATCTAAAACGATTTTACGCTTGATGTGAGTTTGATTCTGAGTTAGCCCAATCACCGTAAAGAACGCGATGAAACTGCGGTAAGTTCGTTCGTTCGGATTTTTTATATAGCCCAGTGTGGCTATTTTTATATAATATACTCACTTCGAATACATATTTTGAATTATTGGATAATAGCAAATAAGGATCGATAGAACAATATTCGTTTGACACATCGATAATGTTTGGTGGAACAAAATTACAAATCAATATTGGATGCCATTATGAAGAAGCTTTGATAATACAAGCAGAGACACATCTGTTGTTATTATTATTATTATTATTATTATTATTATTATTAAAAATAAAGATAAATAAAATTATTTGTGTTGAAGCAAATAAGCATATGATTTTATTTAACTTATAACACATTTTTCCGTTTTCACAATGAAAGGATAATAATAATAAGAAAATAAACAAATAAATAAATGCTAATATCAACTAAAAATGAATTATTAACATTTGTTTTATATGAGATTATTTATTTGATCATTGTATATATATATATATATATATATATATATATATATATATATATATATATATGGCGAAATTTATTCATACGATAGTAAAACAATGTAGAGGAAAAATATGAAAAAATATTAATAAGTATCGGTCATATATATAAGAAATTTTGCACATATGAGCGGCTAAAAGGATTCGAAAATTTACCGCGAAAGTCCAACGGGTTTATGATAAAGTAATTTTCTTGTTAATGATAACAATTTCTCAACGGAAAAATATTCGGCTTGCCTAGGTTCAATTTTTCCCCTAAAGTGCTTCGGGATAAATTGGATTTTCCGCCAAGAAACTTTACGTTTGGCAACGGCATATAAATCAATTTGCCGGCTAGTTGAATAATTCTTCCGTCTATGCTTATATTTTGTGGAGCGAAGACAAATACGAAGTGGAAAAGGGCACTCACGCGATTGATGAATTCGAATTGAATTTTTCGTGCCAGAAGGAAAAATCCAAGGGCCTTCTTCTCCTTATCTTTATTATATGCCGCGTGCGAAAACAAAGTGTCCTCGCGTATTTATCCCGCATTGTACTTACCATAAAACGGACGACATTTTGAGTGCCAAGTAAGTCGAAGCGGCCCAGCCAGTTGAGAGGAATCTGCAAAAGATAGAGAGCAAAGCAGTTAATATTGCGGCATTGGAAGGCGTCACACGAGCCACACGCGGAAGAAAGACGAGGCGTGCTCGGGTAGGAATAAACGCGCTTTAAAGTAGGTGCATTCGCATGAACCCAGCTCGGCTGCTTGCAATCGAAGGGTACGAGTGCCGGAAAAAAAAGGCGAGCATAACGAAGGAGGACGGGGGCGTGTTACGAGACCATAATCAGTCTCGGCTCGCACGTGTACGCGTGGCTCTTAAGCATCTCTATTCGTCAATATTAATTTTTCGCGTGAGCAAACTGTGGTGATGGTGGCGGAGGCGGTGGCGGTGGCGGTGGCGTTGGCGGTGGCGGTGGCGGTGGTTTTGGCGATGTCGGAGGCGGTGGCAGTGGCAGTGGCAGTGGCAGTGGCAGTGACGGTGACGGTGGCGGTGACGATGACAGTGGTGGCGATGACGGTGGCGATGGCATTGGCGATGGTGATGGCGGTGGTGGTGGTGGTGGTGGTGGTTGTGGTGGTTGTGGTGGTGGCGGCAACGGCGGCGGCGACAACGGGAACGGCGACATCGAGGCTGTCAAGCGCGAGATAAGCGATGCTTCGCGCATGCGTGACTT